ACAACAACAAATTCTTGAATATTACTTGCTTACTTTTTGATGAACTTTGAATTAAGACACTTTGTGTCCACAAAATGCTTTGGCCTCACCTTTGAAACCACCTGATAAACTGTCATGAATGTTTATATATCATATTTATAAACCTTGAGAAGCCAATGACATCCTCGGCTTTGTATATAAACACTTTCAGCAAAATAAAGATCCTACATTAACTTGATAAAGTTCCTCAGAGGACGAAACGCGTCTGCTAAGAATAGGTTTTGCCTTTTGTCTATTTTTTTTCATTTGGTTCTTTTCTTTATTCGATACATTCCATCTGAGAATATTTATACACACACGCGTACACACATACACACGTTTCGCACATATATATATATATATATATATATATATATATATATATATATATATATATATATGTGTATGTGTGTGTGTGTGTTTGTGGTTTTTAACTTTTTTCCGATTACATCAACTCACACACACACATATATATATATATATATATATATATATATATTTTATTTACATTATTCGTACTATTGTCCTCATCTTTGTCGCTATATTTATTACAACGTTTCGGCCGTTGTACGCTCCGACCTTCTTCAGGTGGTTGGAATGTCGAACTGAACCCTTTATTTCGCTCACTGGGGTAAACTAGTTCTAGATGAGGACAATAGTCCGAATGATGTAAATAATGTATAAAATACATTATCTCAGCAATACACACACACACACACACACACACACACACACACACACACACATATATATATATATATATATATATATATATATATATATATGTAGTATTCTGTTGGTATAATCCAAGCGAGACCTATTAACACTGTATAGAATTTGAAATATTAAATATTAAATGTTAAGTCTGACTCACAAAAAAGCGCTCAGAGTTTATTTTCATTAAACAGAGCAAAATTTTACTTAAAATTGGAATCTTTCATAAATCCAATTTTAATATATATATATATATATATATATATATATATATATATATATATATATATATATATATATATTCATCTTAGTGAGCCATCAAACCTACCCAGGTTTCACCTAAGCGGATCGTCAGGTAAAAATGGCTAAAGAGAAATATAATATATATTTTTTATATCCTTCGAGATTGATTTGATTATTGACAAATCAAAAATTCGAAGGTTTTTCGAGACGAGTATAGTTATCTATCTATCTATCTATCTATCTCTCTCTCTCTCTCTATATATATATATATATATATATATATATACAGTTTATATATTATTTTTATAGATACAGTTTATAGATATGTTGTCGGGCTTAATCCATTTCGTTATAAATATAAAAGTGAACACTTAGATCAACACTGAGAGGATACAGAATGATTCATGCTCAACTCAATCATCACACACACACACACACACACACACACAATTATAAAATATATATATATATATATATATATATATATATATATATATATATATATATATATATTGTGTATATTTAGGTAGCAATTTTTCATTGATGCATGTTTCATTATATAATATAGACAAGTTTATTTTAAGTAAGTTCCTTTCATATTGTCTGATAAGCATAATATCATTGTCATTGAAAGTCAAAAGGAAATCACCATATTGATACATATTTAAATCCAATGTAAGTTTTCGGGTTACATAAGCCATTATCAAAAATGACAATTACTTTCAATATACCAACCAATACACGGACGAAACAATAATGATAGTCTGTTTTTGTTGCATGAAATATTTCAAAGTCACGACTAATTAAATAATATGGATTTAATGATATTTATGTTGGTCACACCACAAACTCGCTTTCACGACGCTTGACTCTACATTTGAATGATAACTCTAACATTTTTAGGCATTTAAAACAACATCCCTAGCTGCGTACACAATTCCGGAAAATCCTCGTTGACAACACAACTATAATTAAACATGAAAAAAATAAACAAATGCTAAAAATTCTTGAAGTTATATACATGAAACAGTTGAAACTTAACCTGAACGAAATAAACTACGAAATCTCCACAAATATTCTTAAATGCCTATAATTGATAACAGAAGCCATTGCTTTATACTAACGGCTTCCCATAATTAATACATTAATTAATTTTCGCTTCTGCGTTTCGTATACACGAGTTAGTCGTTGCTTTGAAATTTTTCATGCAACAAAAACAGACTATCATTATTGTTTCGTCCGTGTATTGTTTGATATATTGAAAAGTAATTGTCATTTTTGATAATGGCTTATGTAACCCGAAAACTTACATTGGATTTAAATATGTATCAATATGGTGATTTCCTTTCGACTTTCATTGATAATGTTATTAAGCTTATCAGACAACATGAAAGGAACTTACTTAAAATAAACTTGTCTATATTATATAATGAAACATGAATTAATGAAAAATTGCTGCCTAAATATACACAATATATATATATATATATATATATATATATATATATATATATATATATAGGGACCTCCACATATTTGCGATACCTAAGGTTTAGAATAAATTTTTAGAAATGAAAACTTTTCCCGAACCATTTGGTTTTGTTTGAAACTAACAGACTAAATCTAATATTTTTAAATAAGCAAAATATTTTACTCTATTTCAAGATTAATTTACATTATCAGGAAGGAGATTTCGTTTTGAAATTACTAAAATTGTTGATTTTATTGCCATTTTATTCATATTCTATCACAATGTAATTCTTTTATTCGGAATTTTTTTAAAAAATAAAATATACTTTTCTGAAAATTTATTTCAGAATTTTAGCTGATTTAAAGATTAATTAATCGGTTTTGCAACAAATATTACTTACTTTAAGTATAAATATCGCAGAAATGCATTTTTTTAACATGGTGGTTGCTGTTTATTTAAGGAGTTAACAGGTTGGCAGACAGAGGGAAGTTTATCTAATTTCGTTCTACGTTGGACATATCTGTAAAATTTACTTGTAGAATATAACATGATCGCCATTTTGTACAATTTTTAAGTAAATGTTTAAAAAAGTAGGAAAACATTCTCTGTAATATAATGTTTTATGGAATTATAGGTACTTTGGCTTTAAATTTACTATAGTTATCGCTATTATTTTCTGTTAATGTCGTGTATACTTGCTCGTATTTATAAAAATCGGAACAGTTATACACACAAGGAAAAAGTTTGTATTTACATTTCCGTTGGAAGGTTAAAATGGAATGTCGGTTTTATTTTTCTTGGTCTAGAAGTTAGGTGAATTAAGTTTAAGCATCTTTATAATGGTCGCGCCCAAGTCCGCCATGCTCTGACTTGGAACAACCAAAGAGAAAGCTTGCCTTACCTCATAAGAGGATGTTTTGGGAAGACACGCGCCTGCACCATGAGTTAGAAAGAGAAAGGAGAGTTCAACTGTCAATGGACCGGGGGAAACTAACATTCTCTCGTGGGAACATAATTACCACGTGGTTCTACATATTGGAACATAAGGGAGAAAGAGAGCGTAAAATGTTTATATTTTTATAGAATTAACCACCATCGCCTTAAGATGACACTATCATATTTCCGTTTCTTTTATTCTTAACATTATGGGAAAATGTATTTATATTTTTTATTATTATTATTTTCTTTATCAATTTTATTTCATTTATCAACCTACAGTGCAATAATATATATATATATATATATATATATATATATATATATATATATATATATATATATATATGAAGTGTGATCAAATGCACATAAAATATAAACCCAAGTCCGTAAATTTCTTGGTGCTTCGAAAGAACGTATCGTCTCTCCCAGAATTCCCAGGTAATACCTCTCCCTCGGGATTGGGCTATGTTCATTACTCTGTACATGAAACATTCCCCAAAAGAGTACTGGACTATTTTGTAACTGATCCCTGAATAAACACAAGAATTATTATTATTATTATTATTACTACTACTACTACTACTACTACTACTACTGTTTTATTTTCTTTGATTTCTGGTGTGTACTCATTTTTCCGGCTGCCGCTAAGAGACCTAAGGTCAGAAATGGCATTTTCCGTTGAGCAATTAAAAAAAAAGTAAACACATTTTACATAGATAATTCCCTTCATAAGGTGTGGGCTGCATTCATGAGAACAACTTTTTGGTATTTCTTAAGGCTAACTGGAATCCCTTCAATGAATCTTTTGGAATCTTTTCCAATCAATCCGAGGGCTCCAACTACAACAGGGGATTGTTGATGTTCTCATTTGCTACATTTTTGAGATTTCGACTTCAAGATTCCTGTATTTTGATAGCTTTTTCAAGATCTTCAAACATACATTGCAGTTTAAAGGAACTGCAATATCAATAAGGAGGCAATTTATTATTATTATTATTATTATTTAAAAACTTTAACCTCTGCTTTGTGTCATATTTCATTTGTGTGGATGTGAAGATAAATACAGTGACTTAAGTGTTGCCCGACTCAAAACATTCTCATGACGAGCCTCGAGATATCGTTGTCATTGTAGCTTTTTATCGAAAGTCAATCATGCGTATTGGTCATTGTACAAAGACACGGTGTCAGGGAAGGTTTTTCTCTCAAACAAAAACCAAAAAAAAAAAAACAAGAAAAAAAAAAAAAAAAAAAAAAAAAAAAAAAAACACAAAAAACAGGACCTATTATTTGCTGATTAGTGAAACCCGACGGGCAGAATGTTTCATTACCTGAGAGCTCTATAGTTTGTCCACTTCCGCCCGTGAAAATAATGCCAATGTTTACATGCACGTGTGAACAGACATCAGTTGGGAATGGTTTTATATGTCGGTATCATGGGCTTAATCTATCTTTTAACGTACCACAAAGGAAAATAAAGATAATATATATATATATATATATATATATATATATATATATATATATATATATATATCCGGGCATTTTCTCCTTCTTTCTGTCTAAATCTTGCTCTCTTTTCAAACATTCTCTCTATTTCTAATAACTCTTCCTCTAGCACCTCTCCATCTCTCTCTCTCTCTCTTGCACTCTCTCTCTCTCTCTCTTGCACTCTCTCTCTCTCCCTTGCACTCTCTCTCTCTCTCTTGCACTCTCTTCCAATCATTTCTATCTCTAATATAAAATTGTTTTTTTCTTGTTTGTTGGTTTATGCTTGTGTGACAGAGATGTTTTTTCAAAAACTATAATAGTTAAACCCGTAAAAAGATATATTTAAGGGTTATTTTTATTAATTCGCCCCAAGCAAGGCGATAATGTCACTAAGACGCAAGGGGGGGTATTTCGAGTGAAAGAGAATGAGTAATCTTTAGAAGGAACCGGAAACCCAATCCTAAACAGGAAACAATGGATAAATCCCTACTCCCGTTCAAAAGACCGAGGACGAATTTATTTAGGAATTTGAAGAATTAAAATAATATTTTGTGTTTGAAAAAATTAAAATAAGAGTGTTATTAGAAGTCGGTGCTCCTTTTGTGAGTAAAAAAATCTTAACTAAAAAGGTTGCCTTAGCTACAATGACAACACTATCTCCAGGTCCGTCAAATGAATATTTTGTGGGGTTTGGGGGATTAAAGTCAATTTACCTATCTTCACACCCACTCAAAAGAAATTTGGCACAGGGCCGAGTTTAAAGTTTAATTGAACCAGTAAAATTGTCCATTCATCTTTTTGAGGACGCCTCAGATACGGAGTTTTGACACTAGCTCCACCCCGAAGGTGAGGTATTACCTGAGAGGGAGCTGAGTTAATGTGTGTCCCTCAAGCGTAATGGAATATGAAATAGTATTAAGCGAATGTGTTTAAGGAATGATTTGTTATACGAATTAACAAAGCAATATTAATTCATATTATCCTTACAATAAAATTAGTTAACATTATTTTCAGAGCGATGGGCCAAAGAGATTTTATGGGAAGGGAAATGGCTTGCGCATCACTACGGCCCGCCATAATTTAGATATTATTTATTTATTTATTAAATAGAATATTTCGATACAACTCCTATTTCTAAGTTTTCATAAAAGTGAACTACCAACAATTTAATAGCAAATAAGCGACAAATATTCGCGCCAAAACCAACAGCGATAATTGTTTGGAAATTTACTGTACAACTTCAGAACCAAATCGGCATTGAAATTAGACATTCTGAAAGACTCAATTTAAATTTTCTGAAGCTCAATCAGTTTACCATAATTCACCATGTATAATATGCTTTCATCCATAATACGCACCCCAAAATTTATGCTGAAAATGTGGGAAAATGCTTCTACTGACCCATAATACGCCCCCCTTGTTTGGTAATCAAATCCTATAAATTGTACCTTTCCAATTTCATTATGTCTAGCGTTTCCTACTCTTATTTACATCGCAGAGTGGGTAAAGGCGTTAGTTATATCCAGTGACAGGACCCAAAGAGTGTGAGTTAAATACCCGGTTAAAACAGTGGATAAATTTCAGAGGGAAATTAACAGGAGATAACTGATAACTGACATCCATTAAACATGGCACGTGGAACTACAGCAGTCTATCTCAGTGAGCGAAATAAAGGGTTAAGTTCTACATTCCAACCATCTGAAGAAGGCCGGAGCGTACAACGGCCGAAACGTTGTAATGAATATGGCGACAAAGATGAGGACAATAGTCCGAATAATGTAAATAGTGTACACAATACCTCATCTCAGAAATATAGACAGGTACTGATAATTCCTAATGCCAGAAGTTACTACCTCGCTTTGTTATTTATTTATTTTTTTAGTTGCTTAGACTTCCATTCGTATTGTGTGGAATTGATATATCATTCTTACAGTGATGTTTATAATGCTCTATTTAAACTAGTATCATCATCGTTTATTCAGATTCATTTATTTAGTGTATTTTGCGGTTCTGTTGTAACCGCTACTCTCCATCTCAAATTTGTAGTCCAAGGATGGCATTCAAACCCGAATAGTGCAATCGCTTGGCAGTTTGTTTTTTTTTTTCACCGGGGATGTTGATTTGGTTTATTTTGTTTTTACGGCATATCAACCTCAATGCATTATCTAATGCCGAATTTTTTTGGGGGTAGACTCGTATGAATAGGATATGTATATCAATACATTTTTTCTCAAAAATGTATTGATATTAATATTTTTAACCCCTAAAATGTTTTGCATGTAATATTATTTATTTCCAAAAATGTATTGCTGGTTGTTTTACTATAAAAATCTATTTTTATACATTCATTGTGTTTCGACCTTCGTTTGCCCATAGCTAGAACCCTAACAAGTGCTACCACACCAAGACCTTAGAACAGCAGCAATTAAGAAGTGGTTCTACGCTCCTTAAATCCTCAAAACCAGGTACTTTGCTGCCGGAGATGTTGATGTAAGTTAAAGACGCATGACCAACAAGGCTGCAGGTAGTTTTCCTTGCTGTCCAATGCTATAGAGCCCAATCTCTGTTTAACTATATTCCCCAATACGAACCACTGTCTATTACTTCACTGTGCCAGCTTAAAGTAATATCATTATATCATTTAATACTTAATTTTATTTTTATGCATTGTCTTAGATTTCCTTTTAGTTTTTCGAGGATAAATAAAAACAGAAAGTAAACAAAAAGTTTTATTTTTAAAGATCGAATTAAAAAAAAGTCACTATTAGTAACTATTAAAAAATGACTTTGAAAAAATTTATTATGCAAAAGTTTCATTTTATTTTCAGTCGACAAGTAGAACTGCTCGTAATCTACACAAATATTATGGCTAATGAAAATCTTGTAGTTATACCCTTGTACAAATTAATTGAAACAAAACGAATAATTCCGTTATTATTTACTTTCTTGTCATATTTTTCCAATGAAACATGACCCAATGCACATATTAGTACTTCGTATGTCCATTCCACGAAGTCGTTCCTTGCAGATTGATCACAGATTCTCGATTGGATTTAAAACAGGACAGTTTCTGGGCAAAACGTGGATTCGCTCTTTAGTAAGGCTTGCCAGTGTCATCATCCAATGTTAGAACTTCCGTTCGCGTACTTCCGTTCGCGTACTTCGTGTAACGTCCATCACATACAATGGCCGTAAGACAACTACAGTTGGAACAATAGTGTCTGGGGGTGATAAAATTTAATGCAATCACGGATGACTCAATATTTTCCAAGGCTAAAGAATTTTTCCTCACACACCCCGAAAATATTACTGCACACCACTGCAAATTGCCTAATTTGAGGAAAAAATAAAAATCGATTACACCCTGTCACTCCAGTGGGTCAAAAACTGACCGAATGGCGAAAAAAAGAAAACTAAAGAAGTTGTTTCAATTAATTTTTACAAGTTTGTACTTGAGACAGGCATTCAGAAAGCTACTTGACTAATCATAAAAGTTTTTCTTGCCACTTGCTAAATATTAAAGAAAAATATTTTGTAGGATGTTCAAATACTTCACGGTACTTACATATACACTGATATCAAAATTAAAATACATGTCGTATATACTCACGTAATATGCACCTTTTGAAGACCTAATTTTAAAGCTAATTTTGAGGGAGTCGCATCATTCCCGAGATATAAAATCAGTGTATGTACTGCTGGCCCTCACTACGCTATTTACTGTAATCTTATCAGCTTCAAAATGTAAGTCTTCATAGGTCGCATGATACGCGAGTATACGTTTATCGGCGTATGATGAGCAAGGAACTCAGTTCCTAGTAACCGAGAGCAAGACACCAGAACGTATGATTTGATTATAGTGGTGAAGGTCTTGTTCAGAATCGTCCACACTTTTAGAAGGGCCGAATACAGAGACATGGTGCACCAGGTGCCACAACGTCCCCAAACGACCCTCCGCAGGTTTTGAGTTCAGAGTTGTCCTTCTCCTAGACCAGTTGCCATCCAAGGCTATAGAACCCAGCTATTTACCAATAATTGTGGGAAAAGAAGAGGATTCATAGCTTTTCCAAGGGTATTAGCACGTGAGTGAGTGTAATGGCTTCGACTGCAATTCGAACTCGGTTCTCTGATTCTTCAATCCTAGCCGCTATCCACTACTACTACTACTACTACTACTACTACACACACACACACACATTATATATATATATATATATATATATATATATATTAATTGTGTGATTCTGTTTCAAAACTAAGTGGTTAATATTTTAAAATATAAGTCAAAGTTATTTTAACTGTCTCATTCAACCAGACACTCCCACATCTACTCCTTTGTTAACGTGTTATTTCTTCCTTATCCTCTTTCCTCCCTGGCTTTTTTTCCTTTTCTTTTTCTTTTTATTATTTCTTTATTCCTTTAATGTTTCTTCCTCTTCCCTTATTACTTTAATGTCTAGATTCTCGCTATAATATTGGTTTTGAATTCACAGTTTTCCTTCTCCTAGACCAGTTGACATCCAAGGCTATAGAACCCAGTCTGTCCTGCTATTTAACCATAGCTGGAGGGGAAAGAAGAGTATTAATACATTTCCCAAAGGTATTAGCACGTAAGTGAACGTAATGGATTTGACTCTCTCTCTCTCTCTCTTTGTGTGTGTGTGTGTGTGTGTGTGTGTGTGTAAATGAAAAAGAGACCTTACGACCACAAACAGGAGCATTCCCAGATGTATTCATATATATAGTGATTTCGATACGCACTGGATGCCCCAATTCCGCTACTTCCATCCAGTTATAAACAAAACAAGTATCGATATATGTGTATGTGTTTTTTTTTAAGCGTTTCACCCCAAGCAAGGCGGAAAGCCACTAGGACGCAAGGGGTTACAGAAAATTTGGAGCAAGATCAGATAGGAGTGATAGAAGAACGTATGAGGAGAAGGGTAGTGGATAGATCAAAGCAACTAGAGATACAGAGGCCAGTGAGAGAGAGAGAGAGAGAGAGAGAGAGAGAGTACTGGGAACCCCTTCCTAAACAAGAAATAAGGGGTAAGCCTCTACTCATGTCCAAGAGAAGTGGGAGGAGTGTTGACCGGGCGGTAGGAAAGCCTACCTACTCCTATTACATATAACAGAGACAACAACAACAAAAACAGAAGTAACGACGAGAGGGGGAGGTAATTTGCAAAGAGTCCTGGCTGACACTTGCAATTTACCCTTTCGCAACATTAAGTTTTAACTTAGTATCAGTCCCATTGTCTATTCTAAAAAGAAATTGAAGAAAATAAGGTTATCCGGATTTATTGCTATGTCATAATAAATGCCCCAACATACGTGGCAGCGAGTGTTAGTCCGCTTTCTTCCTCATGATAACAAGTGAATGTACAGCTTACCTTAAGTCCAAGCATCGACCTGGTGGGGGGGGGGTTGGTCAACGGCCAATCTACCGCCCTTACCAAATAGTGGGCTTGGGTGGCATGCTTTCAATAAAAATTAAGAACAACAGAAGAAAGAATGGTGGCGAAAACAATTCCAAGTTCAGAAAATTTATCAAGCAAGAATAGTCGGCCATTAAATTATGAGAATACTGACGAGACATCTAGCCAAAGACGTTCAATTTTCCCTTTTTTCTGATTTTTCTTTCGAAACGGGATTTCTAACTAGACCATCAGATAGGTTAGAATGATTAGGACAAAATGTGTTACTATGGGCAAACACACTGACGAGTAGGGGGAGTTGGATTAATTTATTTTACTTGTATTTATTTATTTTTATTTTTTTATTTTGTATATTTTTATTTATATTTAATTATTCATTTTATTGTAGTTTTTTTCTTAAATTCCTATATTACTTATTCCTCTATTTTCGTAGTGTTTAAACTTTATCTTATTCTAACATTCTTTCCTGCAATCAATATCTTTTATTCTACAATTTTCTGCCGCCATTTTTCTTTCTTACAGTACTTTATATCCTTTCCCGCTCTTTTCGCCTCAGTATTCATAATTTATTTTCTTCCTTCTATCGAATGCCAACGCATTACATAGCTTTAGTCATCTTTACCGCTGACAGTCTGGTCTCCCGTCCAATCACTGCATTGTTCATCTAAATGCTTGACCATAAATTAACCCCGTCCGATTCGTTTTTATTTACCTTATTTCCCGAGATTAGAAATCAAAGTCTCTATCCAATGACTTCCTCTTTATATTCGCCGCTATGATCTGATGTTTCTTATTCATTGTTACGGCTTCTGTGTCGTCTTTGCCCATAAATCTTGCGCGCGGTTTTCTCCCTTTGTTCTGCACTTTTGACGGGCGGATATTTATAGCTGTTTTCTAAGCGTAGCTGGGACTGACACAAATCCACATGTGATGGGCACTAACTGAGCATTGAACTCAACTACAGTAAAGGTCTTTGAAACTATTAAGGTTGAGTCATAAATAATTTCCGTTTTTATTTATCGAATAAAGATATCTTCAAGATATAAAGTAGGTTTACATTTTGAGAAGAATGGACGCAGCAGGAATATACTCCTACAGAAGGATGCTGAGAATAACATGGACGGAGCGAGTAAAGAACAAAGACGTCTTAAGGAAAATAGAAACACAAAGGACACATACCCATAAATAGAACGACAGCCAAAATTTCTTGGAGAATTTGACACACACAAGATGTATCGAAAACAAAATGAATAGGGAAAGGCAGCGGGCTAATTGACCAAATTCTATGAATAATGGATAGCGCAAAGGGTTAGTCGGATCTATGGCAAAAAGAGCTATAATGGATAGGAAGTTGTGGAGAACCTTGAACGTCTACTTGCTGAAGAGATACAAGAAAAAGAAGATATATTCACCATTATTTGTAATGAGTCGTTGCCAATTGTTAGATTTGACTGAAATTATGCAGCTTTTAATGAAAAAGGTTTTCGACCAATTCTTGAATTTTATTTTCCTTAGAGAAAGTTCCCCCACCTCGCCATCAAAGCATTTTTGCAGGGATCGAAAAGGGAAAAAATCAGACTATTTATTTGCAAGAACAATTTTATATTTACGGCAAAATACAAACCAACTAATACAATGAAATGTTTATCATTTACCAATTTATAAAGAAATAAATATAAAAAATATTTGAACCAACTAAAATTAAATACTTATTACATACCATTTTATAAAGTTCGAACCGGCTGGCAAATGAGAAATAAATCTTTATAAAGTGGTAATAATAAATATCGCATTGTATGTGGCCCACATATTTTTTATAATTTTACAGATAAGCATTAATGAGTGAATATCAGTAATATAAAATAAAAACAGTGTCAACGGAAAAAAAAATCTTTTCGAAACACCGTTTTTTTGTGTGGTGGGGGACACAAAGTTTTAATATTGCCAAAAATCTCATCCTCAAGGTCTATCGATTTCTCCAACATTGAATCTTTTCCAATCAAAATTACTGTATCCCCCCAAAGGGAAAATAACTTCGTTAAAACATCATAGACAAGGTTGCAATAAAAGAGACAAGGTAGTAGATGGAGAACCCGAAATAGGATGTTGAAGGTTGTTTTGGAAAGTGGAAGAGACGCTGGGACAAAAATCAGATCTGGCCTTCTTCGGTATTCTTTTTTCTTTTGTTTTTTTTTTTTACTAATGTTCACACAATATAAAGTCCAAGAGCCACTCATGGTAGAGGGTCACTATGTGGAGTTATATTAGCGTAGGAAAGAACAATCATTAACTGTACACAACTGAAGCAGACTTTAAAAGGAACCGGAAACCTAATCCTAAACAGGAAACAAGACCGGAGAGGAGTGTGAACGAGACGAAAGGCGAACCTGCCGATAATTCTAATACATTTCAATGAATAAAAAGGGCATCTATTTTAAATACGAATGCCAGGTATGGAATGTTGTATCGTTGGGGGTGATCATATTGAATGTTTTTAGATTTTCGGATGAAGTAATGAGTTTAATTTGTTTCTTTGTTGCAGGTAATATGTGAAATTAAAATCATTGCAATGTTGAGTACTCATCTTTGGCTGTTATAGTCACAAAGTTTCAGCAATTATATTGTCTGGAATTTTTCGCGAGTCTGCCGTAGCCAATGATTTTTTAGAATTTTAGAACCGAAACCTTTTTCAATCTTACCATTACAGTTAGTTGTCCCACGGCCATTGTACGCTGCGTTACTTTCTTCACACTGGAAGTGGTTGATTGGCCTTTATTGGAAATTTAATCGAAAATGAGCTAGAACCCTTTAAAGACTTTCGTTTCATTAAAATACAAAAAAGTAAAAAGAATTATTGGTTTTGACTGTTATTTCTGAGATTCATTATGTACATTATTTACATTATTCGACTATTGCCATCTTTATTTAAATTTGGATATCAGTGGTTGGAATGTCTCCTTTATTTCGTTAAAAATTCTAGACTGTTCTGTTCCAATGTTTATTATCTCAATTCTCTCAAATTTCTCCAATGCCTCAACCGGGTATTGAACTCACACACTTTGGGTCCTATCACTAGATGTAACTAACGCTTTTTTCCATTGTGCCATGTGTCCTTGAGGACATCTGTGTATGAATTTCTGGGTATTATAAATCTAATGTCTTCAGCAACTATTTTTAGCAGTGCTCATATTGAATTTTTTGCTGTTAACATTAGTAATTATCAGTAATCTTAGGGTGCCAAATGTTAATTTTTACCAGAGTTCATATTGCAATTTTTGTTGCTATTATCGCTTTTCTCTGACACTCTTTGTTACTGGTTCCCATAATGTATTCATTTCTATGCTCGGTCGGCTCAGGAGATTTTTGTTTTGTTTAATTTGCGCAAAGGTGTACATCATTCGTTATTATCATTTTCACAGTAACCATCATGGTTGGCGCGTACAACCCCCAAATGGTGGGGGACTGCATTGGGGAAACTATCTTATAAACATTTGTTTTTTTTTTCTGCCTACATTTGAAATGAGATGAGGTATTATGTACATTATTTATATCTTTCTTATATACTTTACGAATTAAACTACGCACAACTGACTATTAAAGGGTGACACATTTTTGCGGATTTTGACGACTTTCTAGGGTCTATTTTTGTCAAAATCTGTAAATTTGTTTTTCAAAGTTTAAGTCTCGGAAAAAAAAACACTACATAAAATTCACTATTTTTTTATCCGTAATGTTGAATATTTCAAAATTATTTAACTTTCTAACAAGAAAAATCTGAAGTTGATGTTAAAAATTGCTGCAAAATTGTTGATTTATTTAAAATGGAACGATCTATTATGACATGTCTCTAATTTGTACTTACATAGATTATGATTATTTTCAATTTTTCTAGTTGAATTGTTCATGTATATTACATATGATTCATTATTGTATGTAATTAGGTCACTATAAAAGATGTCTTCTATATGAATGCTGCCTTATGAAAAAGGAGATGTATCAGAGTTTCCATACCATAGAGTTGGGAAGTTGTGTCGTTAATCCGGTGGTGGCACGAGGCATTGCACCGGTCCTGGTAACCATCAACCTTGAGTGGCTCTTGTGCTTTTTATTGAGTGAGTATATAAAAGACAGAGATATGGGTATTGGTAAATAAATGAATGATTAAAAAAAATAATTTTATATATGGAAGATTAACTGTGAAATGAATGAACAATATGAATAATAGTATTATTTAGGTATCGAAAAAAAATGGCGATTTTAAATTTCATTTTTTGATACTCATTTTATTACATAATCCTCCGTAGTTTGAGTCGTAGGAAAATGCGTCACATAAATATATTTTTATTTTTAAAAAAAGTGTATAATAATCGGAATAAAAGCTAATTTTCTTTTCCTTCACGATAATAATTTGGTTTTAAGACTGTCGAAGCTTTTGAAGACTGTCGAAGCTTTGTTTTGAAATCTTAACTCTGGCTCATCTCGATTAAAATCCAAAATCTCCCACATTTTTCCCCGTCGGCGCGAAGCACGAGATCTCGTTTCAATCGACATTATCAATAAGTCTGCTGACATGTTGTGTCCTGATAGATATAGAGAAAGAGGGGGAAATAATAGCGTGAGAGTTTCAAAGAATCAGCGTCTTTTTTATTTTGGCCAGGAGCGCAAATTCCGCGATAATAGTCTACCATTTTGCCAGAACTTACTAATAGTGGGTCAACTGCTGGCATCAATAAAATATCTCGCCTGCAACAGTCGCCTCTCGTCTTCTTTGACTGTCTTCAGTCCATCTTGAGAGAAAACCAACCCCGGACAAGCAGCGCATATCAATCTTTTTAATTATTTGTTTACTTATTACTTTCTTTCTTTCTTTCTTTCTTTCTTTCTTTCTTTCTTTCTTTCTTTCTTTCTTTCTTTATCCTTCCACTTTTTTCTCTTTTTCTTGGTTTCTTTGTTTCCTTTTTGTCTAAATCGTTCTTTCTTTCCTTAAATTTTAAATTTAGAATCCTTCAGTCTTTCCCTCATTTAAATTCTTCTTGAGTCGTACTTGTCGTTATAATTATTTATTTTGGGGATTTTTTTCCTATGGTTTCTTTCTTTCTTCATAACCTTCTTTCTTATTTTATAGTTTTCTTTCTTTCTTTCTACTTTCCTTCTTTTTTTTCTTCTTTCTTTCGTTTTAATTTTCCTTCTTTCTTTTTTCTTTCTTTCTAAATTTCCTTCTTTATTTATTTCTATCTTTTTGATTTTCTTTCATTATAAATTTCTTTCTTTCTTTCTTTGTTTCATTCTATATTACTTTTTAAATTTCCTTCCTTCCTTCTTTATTTCTTTTTTCGAAATTTTCATTCCTTCTTTTTTTTCGAAATTTCTTTCTTTCCTCCTTTCTCTCTTTCTTTCTTTCTTTCTTTCATTCTTTCTTTCTTTCTTTCATTCTTTCTTTCTTTCTAATTTCCATCTTTCTTTCTGTCTTTTCTTCTTTCTTTCGTTTTAATTTTACTTCTTTCTTTTTTCTTTCTTTCTAAATTTCCTTATTTCTTTCTTTCTTCATTTCTTTATTTCTATCTTTCTAAATTTGATTCTTTCCGTCTTTCTTTTATTCTAAATTTCTTTCTTTATTTCTTTCATTCTTTCTTTTTTTTTTTAAATTTTCTTCCTTCTTTCTTTTTTCTTTCTTCCTAAATTTCCTTCCTTCTTTTTTCTTTCTTTCTTTCTAAATTTTCTTCTTCCTTTCTTTGTTACATTCCTTCTTTCTTTTTAATTTTCTTTCTTTCTTTTTAATTTTTTTTTTCTTTCCTTTGTTCCTTTATTTTCCGTTTATATAAATCTCTACTTTTATTCTTTTTTCTTTCTTTCAAAACTTATTTCTTTCTTATGATGATGATTATGATGATGAAATAGTTGTTGACAATTGGGATAAAAATGATCTAGAACACAAATATCAACATCTTCGATAAAGTGTTCCATGAAACAGGATTCAAGATAAGGGACTCTAATCCCGCCACACCCAACCCCCAAAGACTGACATTCATTTCGCATTCTCCGGCATGCCACTGTAGTGAACTCCCTTAACAATTGTTTATTTTGTTTAAAATTCCACACACACACACACACACACACACACATATATATATATATATATATATATATATATATATATATATATATATATATATATAAATAGAGAGAGAGAGACAGACAGACAGACAGAGAGAGTGCAACAGATAAAATTGTCTTACATTATGAAATGGACAAAGTCCGAAAATTATTTTAAGATATTTTTTAATTTATACATACTTTTTTTTAATAGATAGAAATATTTAAGTAACTCCTCTGTTTATAATAAACAGTATTAACAATATTTACCAGCCTGAATGTGCGAGAAATTGCCATAAAAGATGTTGTTAATATGGGATGGCTGGTAATCTGTATATGTATGTATGTATAAATATAAGAATTTGTGAGTTCATATATTTAATATGGGAGAATATAGATATAATAATGTAATTAAGTATAGATTTTGATATGTTTTTTGCATGCACGCACATGTGGATGTATATATGTATATGTATATATTTGTGTATGTGTGTGTATGTGTATATGTATCTACATGTATATGTATATATGTGTATATATGTATAAAATTTAATTAAATAGGATTTTGATATGTATTTTGCATGCATATGTGGATGTATATATGTATATATATATTTGTGTATGTGTGGCTATATATGTATATGTGTATATATATATGTATATATATATATATATATACATGTATATATGTGTGTATGTGTGTAAAATATATGTATGTTTGTGTGTGTATATCAAATATATATGTATATATATATATATATATGTATGTGTGTATGTGTATATATAGATATATGTATATATATATATATATGGATATGTATATATGTGTGTGTGTGTGCATGTGTACGGATATGTATATATGTGTGTATGTGTATATCTATGGATATATAGAATATTATATAAGAACTTACAGTTCTGTTATTAATGTTTTATCTCATTTTCTTCTTTAATATTCTTCAACTGGAAGTGTGAGTTTAAAATTCTTTTTAATATGGAGGTAAATTTTTAAATTGATAATTTAATTTAAATTGAAATATATTACCCTTTAATAAACATTATTGAGGATAAAATATCTAAATTTGAAAATTTGTTGATATTTATGTAGGTGTTAATACATGAAATTACCTATGTATATCGGTACATGGGTACCTGTATGAGTGATTGCACAAGTAAAGGAACGTATATATGTGTGAGGTTTGCATGGGTGTGTATACAGTATATGACAGAGCAAGATCTTTAATATTACCTTCAAATATTACCCCATATTAACTTAACTAAACTTTAAGTAAAAGAGATTACCTATCTAGAAACAGTCACGAGTTAAATTCATGAATAAAATTCAAACGGATAGAGATGTCAACTTAATAATCAATAATAAAAATTTTTAAAAAGATAAAAAAAAAGATTACTAGAAGTAAAAGGATATTTTAAAATAAAATTTTATACTTTTAATGTACTTTCTATGAATATTTTTCTAATCGACTATTTCATAGAAAATCCCAAAAATTTTTCAAAATTTAAATCACTAACAAACATCAAATTAAATTCTTTGTAGACAATTTAGACATTCAAATTTATATCAAACATTATAATCTTTATGAACCCCCAAAATAACACTTTCAAAGTAAAACAAAATAACAGCATCTGTTTCTAACCTGTTTTTTTTTTCCAAAGAAAATTAGTGACACCTTCTCTCATGACTTCCTTCTCTCTTTTTCTTTTTATGTTTTTTTTCTCCTCTACCCCTTCAATATCAATATATAACTTCCGTTAAGTTAACCGTTTAAATGTGTCCATGTCTGGACCTCCTCAAGTAATTTTAAGTATAAAAATAGAAATTTTAAATTACATCTAACTCACTCATTTCTTCTCCCCCCCCCTCACTTTGTTAATTTACATATTTTAATACGGCCCGTCAAAAATGTGTAAATTTTTTTTTCATTTTTTTTCAACCTTTGGAAGTAAAGTCTGATGATCCACAGTCCTTTAAAAAGGGCTGTGGTGAAATAATTTATTACATGGAACCTTAAAGTGGTCTGTTTTTTTATTTAAATTATTTGCTCTATATATATATATTGATATATATATATATATATATATTTTATATATATTGATTGGAAGAACATACATATATATATATATATATATATTATATATATATAATATATAATATATATATATATATATATATATATATATATATATATATATATATATTATATCTGAGAGAGAGAAGAAATGAAATAAATTGTTTTTCTGAAATTTTTTATTTTTAATTTCATGCATATGCATTATTTATTTTTTTATTTTAAATTCACAGTTCAGTAGAGTTTGTTTTGGAAGAAATTATTTTGTTCGAAAAAAACAATCATGGCACAATTCACTCCATCAGAAATTTAGAAACGTTCATATTGTTTGTCATTCATGCTGGAAGCCATCTAATACAAGAAAAGGAATCACCTGTTAACTTGGAGAGGCATTTCAAATGTAAAAAAAAAATGACATTTATTTACAACTTACAGCAAACCATTTAATAACATTAAACAACACGTGTCTATTTAATACTTTAACAAAAAAATTTTTCTTTTATTGTAATGTTCGTAAATACTTATAGGTTTTGCATATTAAATATAAAAATCCAAACTTTATATTTTCATTCTTTTCCGTATTGGAGAAATTCTCAGATTCTCTTGAAACTTCAAGTAATAGTCAAACAAAGCAGTTACATTTAAAAGATTTTTTTACTATTTAAGCTCAGTCTATGATTAGAAAAATGTCTTTTTCCCTAATGTATTCATATATGATATTTTGAATCATAAATATAATCTAAATTCCCCATAACAGTTCACTTAATTTTAAATATCTAACTTCACATTGTTTATATATTATATATATATATCACCCATTTAAGTCCATTTCTTAAAAAATAAAATAAATTTTGAAATATATATAATATATATATATTTTTATATATAAAATATATTATATGAAAATATTTATTTTATAAAAAGAAAATAAAAAAGATTGATGTTTTGTTTTAACATATTTATTTATTTATATTTCATATATATATATATATATATAATATATATAAAAAAATTGAAAACTTGATAAATAAAATGGGTAATTCCAAAAAATGGATGAAAAAAAATAGAGCTCAATGAAAAAAAGCTAATATTTAAATTGTTTCGATAATAAAAATTGAAAGAAGTGGTTAAATTACAAAAATTACACTACCCATCAATTTTTAATCCCATTTTTCCTTTCATTTCGTTGTTGGAAAATGTTACCTGAAGATCCGGAAATCCTTTAAAAAGGATTTTGATTCTCAAATAAATTATTGAATTGGTAAAATAAAGTGGTCTGTTTTCTGGTTAATTATTTATATATATATATATATATATATATATATATATATATATATATATATATATATTTATATAAGGAAGATTTTGAAGGATTTTTGAATTTGTAGGTCTGATAAAAAGAATGGTATTTAAATTGAATGGAATAAATTATGAGCATGGAATAAAGGACAAAGCCTTTTATAAATCCTGGACATTGAGTTCTACCTGGATTCTATCCTCTTGGAATTATTTTTTATAAAATATATATATGTATATGTATGTATATATGTTTATATATTTTATTTATATATTTTGCATATGTATGTGTAAGATTTACCAATACATATTAAAAGGAAATTATATAAATATATATATATAAGGAAATATACATATATATATATATATATATATATATATGGCAAAGAGAAGGAAAGGACATAAATTTTTGCCATTTATATTTTAAAATGTAGAAAGTGAAGGAAAGGACATTGTGTCAAAAGGAAAATATAGGATATAAAATATTGTCTAAAAAAAACATAGGCAAAGGAAAGAGGATATAAAATGTTGAAAGTAAGGAAAGGACATAGGCAGAAGGAAAATATTTCTATTGTTGTAAAAAGGATCAAAAAAACATTATATTTTATTAAACTTTTATAAATCCGTTCTAAAGAAAAAATTTTAGAAGAAGGAAAGAGGACATAAAATAAAATATAGGAAAGGAAAATTCAGAAGGAAAGAGGAATAAAATGTAGAAAGAGAATGGCACTTTTCAGAACCTATTCAAAAATAGAAAGTGAATTTATTTTTAAGAAGGAAAGAGGGTTTAAAAATCTTGGAAATTTTTTTTTTTTAGAAATCTGTTAGAGGATTTAAATTTTATGAAATTTTGACATAACTGACATTTCAACCTCTATAAAATTTTTTCTAGTTAAAAAAGACATAGGAAAGGAAATTAAAATTATCAAAATTTTGAAAAAGAAAAAAAAGACATCTACAGAAAAAAGTTTTGAATAAAAATAAAAAAGAGAGAAAATCATAGGAAGAAGGAAAT